AAAACGAGATGAAATTTTCAAATTTCAAACAAATCCACCAAATAATAAAATCTCAACGCCACGTAAAACGATCCATTTCAAACGGTAATGACGTAACAAAATTATAAGAATAATATCGGAAAATGAAAAACGACGTCGATATCTCACCGACTCAAAGAGCAAGAAAATTAGAGGGGAGGATATTTTTAAGCATTAGCCCGATAAAGTGGTGGGTGGGGGGGAGGCGCTGGAGGATTTTCCAATGGTATAATCTGACGATAATAAGTGCCTGACCAAAGATATCGGTTTAAATAGATGTCGCTATTGTAATTCGTGAGTCATTATCGTAAAAAAAGAATACCAATGAAATTCTCTGAGTGTATACATTACAAAATAGCAATATATTGAGCAAATGAACAAATAAAAATTATACCTTCTTATTCATGACGTATTGTAGTGACATAACCATTTAATTTGTACGGGTAATGTAAAAAATTTGTTTTTAATAACTTAAGTCATCAAAAAATAAAAGCGTATGCAAAGCAAGACAAAAAATATGCTCACACTTCCATGCTTTGCTAATAGTATCTCGTTCTATCTATTACTGTCTATGTATGTCATATATTTTAGGACCGCAAGTGCTATCCTAAATCTATAATCAAGCAACGCCATCTAGGTCCTACGTAAAGTTCATACTTATATACTAATGTACATATATATTAAACATAGAAAACACACAAACCAATAAAAACTCATAAATGTTTGTATTGTGATACAACGCAGACAACGTCGTAGGAATAACTATTTTTCTAACATATTGCAGTACTTGCGTCGTCTATTCACTTAGAAGTCTGTGTACTTATGAGTAAGAAGTCCATTCACGGTACACATTTATTTACACACGTTACAAACACTCCTCTCCTTACGCAAGATTTTGAATAATTAAATTTATACGATACATCAACGTATGTATATTTCGCTTCATTTCAGTAAATAACTAAGTTTTAACAGCAATAATGAAGATTATCTTCTGTACTCGTAAACTAATTACTTTTCAGTTAATGAAAGTTCAATACGAAATTCTCACCAAAAAATTTTGGTGACTTTTTTAATTATAATTGACTCCCGTTTTGCTCCCACACTAATAGCCAATATTAAAGCTTTTTTCAACCGACATCAAAAGTAGGCGGTAATCAATTTGGTTGTATTTCTTTTATGTTTGTTACCTTATACTTCAATTAGTTATAAACTTATTCGACAACGCGCGCCTAATACCCCTGGTATTGCAGGCGTTCATAGGCTCCGGTAACCGCTTACCGTCAGGTGGACCGTATGCTTGTTTGCCACCTCAGTGGTATAAAAAAAATTGGAAAATTTTTATCTGAAAAAATATACTTACAGATTGGTCTCATAAAATTGTTTTCAAAATCGGTTCAGTGCTTAATTTTGAAGTGAAAATAGCTTTTTGTCCCTGTTGAAGTCGGTTTTGTTTTGGAATGATTAAGAGAAAATTCTTGCCTAAACAAAGAAAGTAAAAAAAAATTAATTACACAATACCAATACAATCTAAAGAATTATTTTCATTTAGCGTGCTTCAATCTTCAAATCTTAAATTTTAATGTTTCACAGATCATGTTTCTAGAATTTTTGCTAAGAACCAATTTATTTAATTGACTCGAGTAAATACTCCTGTTAAATTCACAGCTCAAAATCTCTTTAGAGAATGAATCCCTTTCAAGAGATTATATGTGATGAAAGGCAACCAAAGTCATTAATTTAAAGCCACCACTAAATCGGATTTAAAACAAAACAAACAAAACGGCGAGTCCAAGGTTGGGGTCAAAGGTTCTGAAGGTCGTGAAAGGGCTTTAAATTTAAACATAGACCCGTCTCTGCGTATAGTTAAACTAGAACTATAGTGCGAAAATAAACTTGAAAGAAAGAAAAAAAAGTTCTAAATACTTCTTTTTTTTCTTTCTTTCAATATTATAATTATTATAAGTGTCAATAGAACTTCATGAAAATATAAACAAACAAATAATGCACCCAACTATGTATAAAATAGCCCATTAATAGTAGTAAAAATGAAAAACAAAAAAAATATATTCGATTGAATGTTTCTAAATTCACTTAGTGTTTCTAAATTCACTTAGTGTTTCTAAATTCACTTAGTGTTTCTAAATTCACTTAGTGTTTCTAAATTCACTTAGTGTTTCTAAATTCACTTAGTGTTTCTAAATTCACTTAGTGTTTCTGTAGTAATTTCAACAAGACTTGATTACCATTAACTTCTATAGAAACAAATTATGGACGAAGTATTCTCAAGATATTGTAAAAGAACTATGGAAATAAAGCAAAACAATTATTGCATGAGTAAAACCTAAAATAATACACTATACCAAGCCATCTGGCTAACATCATTACGTTTGAGTTGTGCCAGTAGTTGCCACGCTTGGCAGGCAGATTGGCAGCCCCAGTTAGACTTTATAAATGTCTTAAGGGGGACGCTACTATCCATCCCTCGCCCTCCTTAAGTCGCCTTTGATTAACATAATTATAATATATTATCTTTGCTTCTAAAAAAAGACCTAAGAATGGGACGAAAATGGTTTAAAATTGAAGTCATTAAGTACATAATAATATAATTGGTATCATCATCGTCATGTCAGCTGTTAACTGTCCACTGCTGAATATATGCCTTGGCAATAGTTGCCACGCTCGGCAAGCGAATTGGCAACCGCAGTTAGGCTTTAGTGATATTTTAAGAGTGACACTGGTGCCCAACCCTCGACTATTAAGTTCGCTTTGTCGCCTCTTACGACCCTACGGGAAAGGAAGAGGTGGCCCGTTCTATGCCGGAAGCATACAGCATAAAATGGGCCATCCTTCCATTCCCATATAATAGGTATAATGCCCACCAATACTGGTTTCAAAATACATATTTTCAAAATAAATAATACTTTGATATATTTTTTTATTTATTTGTTTATTCTTTATTGACCACATTACAAAAAAATGTCTGGTACAAAAGGCGAACTTAATACGAGTACTAAATAGCTAGCATTCTCTCCCAGTCAACCTTCGGCAAAACAGAAATTTTATTATGCGGTGAAAAAAAATTACAACACATACAATTGTGTGACTATTGTGTGACTATTTAGTATTTTAACTTAAAATTATTATCACACGTGAGAGTCAAATGAGTTTATATAATCAAATTGTTTACTTTTCAAAATATACAACTCTCTCCGATAAAATACAACATATTACTACAATGTGTGTCGAGAACTACTGCATAATTATGATAATATAAATATACATACATGTTTTCAACATCTCTTATGTGTATACTGCACTTGTTGTAACAATAGATTGACCAAAATAAATCACAAATCCGTACACGTCCCCGTATTAATCAATTTCTTCATCCAGCCACCTTTTGTGTTTGAAAGGATTCCTCGTAACAGGAAAAAATCTAATACAGTCATTCAGTCACTCCCTAATGGCTTTTGGACAAAAAAAATTACATCTAATTCTTCACATAATCGCATAATACGGTTTTTTTGCTACCGAATAGTTTTTGCCGTTTTGAGGGGCTGTTCGGGGTCGGACACGCCCCAACATGAGGATTTCGGCTGGCTACGACCTTTAGATAGGAAGAAAGACTTTCTTGGTGTCGAACAGTTCGTAGGAAGGAGAGAGAGAATTGTTTTGTCTGCTAATACAGATAAATAACTGAGGGTAGTAAGGAAATATATATATATACTTTACTAATTTGAAAATGTGTTTGTTTGTTTGTCACCTTTTAATGCTTTAACTGATTTAACCAATCAATGTGAAATAAAAGATATAGGCTCCTTTTTATTATTGGCATGAACAATATCGCATTTACGCAAACGAGTCGCGGATAAAAACAGAAATATAAGTTACTAGCTTTTACCTGCGACTTTAACCGCGTTACTCGTTGATTGTCCGAGATAACAATTGTCTATTACCTTCTCTATTCTAAACAGTACATCCATACTAAGTTTCGTGATTGGTAAAGCCGTTAAGACACTACAAGGTAACAGAAAAATAAACTCACTTTCACATCTATAAAATTAAAATCTCCTATAAATAATAGAAATATATGATAAATAGGTACTCATTATATATTTCCAATGTACTAATATTACACTATATTCTATTAACAATTGTGTGAAAAAATAAATGTATTAAAATTTTCATTACACCATTTCAATTTCATTACTTAGACATTCATACAATAAAATCTGTCTGATATACCTTCAAAGCGAGCGTACTCGAGTAATTCAACAAGTATGCATATCACGTTACTTTGTGACGAGTAAATTGCTTCTTTCAATAACGTTAAGCTATGAATTTTGTATTAAAATTCACTTAACCCATCAGGTTGCGTTATTAACTGCATTTGAATTACATTGTGCATAATGGATCGCTCAGCAGATTAAAATTTAAGTATAAAAATACTAGGAAAACATGATAAATATTGTCTCGCCTTTGTATGTATATAAACTTAACTGTCCAATGCTGAAATGAGACCTCCCCCTATTGGGAGCTTGCTAGTAGTTGCCACGCTTGGCAGTTAGGCTTTGGTGATGTTTTAAGAGAGACTGCCCATGCCTCGACCATTATGTTCCCTTTGTCACCTGTACCCACGAGAAAGTTTTTTTTTTTATACAACTTAGAATGACAAACAAGCTAACGGCCCACGTGATGGAAAGTGGTAACCGTCGCCTATAGATATGAGCAGTATCATGGACATAACAGAGTATACTGTTTCGCCCATGATACCCCCATGCGTTGCCATTCCTGAGGACTCAGGTGTTATTCCTCTGTACCCTGTAAATTCACGCCATATCCCATCCTTCAAACCGAAACACAGCCATGCAAACACAACTGCTTCACGGTAGAAACACGAATAGGGTAGCTTATTCTATGCGATGACCACACGACAATATTATATAATACAATTTATATCACATAATACATTTTTTTTCCAGTTGCGTGCTCAACGGTGACTGTGACGAAGTGCCAGGCTGCTCTCAAGACCCTGCAAGCGTTTCCGTTCTTCAAGCCGACCTGTCTCTGTCGCGAGCCGAACGTCGATCCTGAATGTAATTCCTTCCGCGACTTCCTTTTTGACCACCCTTGCGTCTTCGTTATGAAGAAAGGTATGTGTAAAAACCCTTACTAATATTATGAATATGAAAGTTTGTTTGTTTGTTGAGAAAGACTATTTTTTGATAAACCGTTGATAAATTTATTTTTTATTGTAATATTATTGACATTGTCTAATTTGCAATATATCTTTTTGTAAAACTACAGTACGTCAAATAAAAATTTGCATGCCAATGTTGGTAAAACACTTTCGAACTACACATGGTTATGCAAATAAATTTATCTTTAAAAGCTAGTTATATATTTTTATTTAATGGGGTAGTCAGACATTTGTTGATTACATTGACACTGTGAATAACGTTATTCGACCTGCCCACATTTTGCTAAGCATATTCGTATTAGAATCCAATATGACAGAAGGCTAGTCTACCACCGTCATTCGATTTCATTTAATTTATTAATAGTGTTTTCCACTAGTAAATTAAAATATTTTCTTCCATAAGTACTAATATTTCGCGCTCAGTTAATATAAACCTACGTGATTTCCCTAATGTAGCATAATTTCTGTAACTTGTATTTTTATTAATAATAAAAAAACCTTAATATGATAATTTTTTGTTATTATTCAACCTATATTTCTTAACGAAAAATGTTAAGTTACTCATACAACACACAAATAAAAGAAACGTTAATGATTTTATCGTTATCATTGTATCAGCTTTTAACTGTCCACTGCTGAATATATGCCTTGGCAATAGTTGCCACACTTGGCAGGTGGATTGGCAACCGTAATTAGGTCTTAGAGATGTTTTAAGAGGGACGCTGCTGCCCATTCCTCGCTTTTGCTCAGTAACCTCTTACGACACCCACGAGAAAGGAAGGGTGGCGTATTCTATGCCGGAACCACGCGCCAATGATTTCAATTCCATCCATTTATAAATGATCCATCTTAAATTGTTTTCAAACTGTAAACTTATATTAAAAACTACTAAACAAATATTAAAAACGTCTGAAAATCTCGAAAATATCACTTCTTAAAAAAAACAACTCAACATTCAAATTTCAATCCGTTTTCAGCACTTCTATGCTGAATCTGTTTACAGATCTGGACGGTTAGGTTAAAAAAAATATGTTAATAAATAACTAAGAAATGACGTATTTAAATATAATTATTATTATTCTTGTAGTCATAATATGTAAATTAATTATTATTATTTATAGAAAAGGACCCGTACCCTGTCGAGACCCTGCCGACCTGCAACTACGCGCTGAGTGTGTGCCACAACGAGAAAGCCTGCTCCGTACTCTTCGACCGGTTCAAGAACGCTTGCAAGACTCGGGACGGGGAATGTCGTATGGATGACAGGTACAAATATACACCTAAATATTTTGTATGGATTTAAAATGGAATGGTAACCCCATCTACGCTGACGGGATACCAGTGAATGATAACAGGTGAAAATGAAGTAAAGCTCATTGTGGCGAATTCAATAGGTAATAATCACGATCACTTCCAGATGGAACCGCATGGAGGCCGATCTGATAAGGCAATGGGACCCTTTTTATAATAAAAAGAACTAACTTTTTATAATAATCCCTCCCTCTGGCCTAAATAATTTATATCAGGTAGTTCTAATTTGAGTAAATTTTACTAAATATGACTTATTACAGAGGAGCACAAAACTGTATTTCAAATTTATATTAGAGGCTAATGTCTATACTAAAAATACATATTAAAAATTAAATACATGTTTTTATTTATTTAAATAACTTTATTGACCAAAACAAAATAAGGTACAAAAGGCAGACTTAATGTTAGTAGCATTCTCTACCAATCATTCTTTGGAATGAACAGAAAATCACGAACGTGGTACTTCATTATTGGAATAGGTAAAGAAAATAACAAGTAATTATCTAACGTATTAACTATATAGTTTTAACCAGAGTCCACTTTCTAGGGAGGACCGCGGGAAGGTCGACTTGTGAGGGTATTAGTAAAACCACTAGTTTCCATTACTAACAATCCCCTCTCTAAACAAACGATAGTTGCCACCTTCCATCAACTTGCCATTCTAAGTTGCATAAAAAAATTCTAACACATATAAAGCACCTACACACTAGCGAAATGAGAAACACGTTAAATTTAGGAAATACCTACAATGGAATACATTTGAAAACATGAAATTGTCTATTGTCATAGAAAATACACGGTCCTCTGTACATTGAAACAGTAAAATAGATAATTTATTCGTGAGAATGTCCAGGTTGGAACGGGTTATTTTGAGCCATTGATCAGACTCGACCGAGTTTATTTTGCATAGGGATGGCTTGCTGCTATTTTTGAGTACGTGAGCATTAAATGGGCCGATAAAAGCCTAAAATAAATGGCGTTAATGGTTTAGGGGCATATAGAAGAGAAAAGACAATTGGCCTACCTTTGTTAAAATGTATTTTCTCCGGGGGAAAAGGTCATTTGGAAAATTAGAAGCGGGAGCAACAGCTGCCTTTGTAATGTATTAGTTCACTAGCTGCCGCCGCTGTCTTCGTGTATATCGATTGTAAATAAATACTTGTTTCAAATAAAATTACTTGGCTGAAATGTTCGTGATAAAATTTGAAAAGAGTTACCTAAACTTTACATAAACGATTACTCAAAAAAAAGTAAATAATAAAATTCAATTATTCTGACAGCTTTATAAATTAAAATTTTGTTTAAATTTCGTATACAGGTATTCAAAGACCGCTATTTGCCACAAATCTGTATATATATAATTAAATTATTGTTTGTTAGTCTCGCTAAAACTCAAAATAGGCTTGATCAATTTCAATATTTCTTTTTTATTTTGTTCGATATTAAACAGTGGCGGTTTAAAAGAAAAAAGTCTTAAAACCCCTTAAATTCTGATGTAAAAAAAAATTAAAAATAAATAATTTTGTATCGCTACTTCGGATTGCTTTTAACAGATGGCTTTGTTGATGATACGAAGTTCATAATATAATATGATATACAGCCACACATATCAATAAGTCTTGAAGTATTAAAAAATCCGAAATATCTAATAATAGCAAAAAGGCTTAGGCTGGAGTCACATTAAGCGACATCACCGTTACACTCGCCAGGTCCGCAAAGAACAATCTTTCATGCTAACGCCACACACACTACACAGAAGTCCTTTGTACCATTTACAGACAGTTCTCTGTCAATACCAATTATGTGATCTGTATCTATCATTTGCACGCGGATTATCCGTCGGCGTACGATCAGTAACATCCGTATTGCATGTTTTACAATACAAACTGCTTACGGTCTAAAATAATATAATGTGTAATAGGAAGATTCGCTACATAAAATCTATTAATGTGGCGCTAACCTTATTTATCAAGTTTACCTGTGATACAACAACCTTAACACTTTCAGTATTATAGCAAAAAATACTCAAAATAACTAAAAAATACTATCGAACAAGCGCTAAGCTAGTTGGCGCAGCAATTAATTAATTAACGAATACAGAGTACTTTTTATTTGAATCGAACAGAAAGCTGACTGAAACTTTGTCGTCTGGCGTAGTCAGCAGTCTTTACTCAGCTCTGGTTCTATTGATCTAATACACTTTCAAAAGTTTCAAACTAGAAACTTGTCCGGAAAAGTGAACAATTTGATTTTCTGTTCTATCTGATTAATTGTAGAAATAAATAAGCATAAAAATAATAAATATATGAATAACTAGTTGTATTCCGCGAATTTACTTATGTAAATTAAGACATTGTAATTGTTTTAGCGGATTCTAATGTTAAGCACATTGTTGTACTATAAAAAATGAAAGAAATATATTGATGACTAAAATTCCTTAAATAGACTGATCAGCAGTTCCTAAAGTTGGTTCCGCGGCAACTACGAGGAAGACTTTGTACATAAGTTTTGTGCTTGGGCACCTCTGTCCCATTCGTGTTATGTCCATGATACTGCTCATGTCAATAGGCGATGGTTACCAATTTCCATCAGGTGGGCCGTCAGCTTGTTTGCCGTTCTATATTGCATAAAAAAACCTTGATGTTCTGTAAAAACTCACCAGAGCTCGACAAAATTATTTATTTTTGTCTATTAAATATTATTTTGAAATACAACAAAATATTTGATGAGAAGAACTCATTATTTGCTTCCATTACAATATTTTTAATAAAAGTTTATGTTCTTATTTAAATTACAGTATCTTTGAGTTGTAATAATGTAATATGGGGTTTCATAAAATAAAAGGTATTTAGTAGACGTTCTGTTATCTTAAAAGTTCTTTGTAACCTTAGATGGACCAGATACGCTAAATGGACCATATCGTAGAACATAATTAATCCCAATATTAAATATAACGATATTCTAAAACTTTTCACAATTAGTATTATTGTGTGTAATGTATGCGTGACCATAGATTTTAGGTGAATAACAGCACTCCATTTATTGCGAAGCTTATACTAAAGCCGAAACCTATTAGCTACTGTGACACAGATAACAATAAGCTAAAGGTATTGTAATCTAGTATGCAAACTAGTTTTGTGTGATTTAGCGCCAACTAAAATTTCTACGTATAAAATACAAAAAATATGCTCACTACAAAAATCCCTAATGGGGGTAGTCAAATGCTTCTGTCGACTGTTACTATTATGGTTAAAGTAACAGTTGACATCCAAGAGACAACTTGGAATCTAACGTGGCAGGGGGACTAACCAATCGCCATCACTTGGATTGTTATACAACTTAGAATAACGAACAAGCTGACGGCTCGCCTGATGGAAAGTAGTAACCGTCACTAACAGATAACAAAAACACTTTGCACACCAATAATACACTGAAATACTTAAGGTTCTGTGCATTGTAATTTCAGTTCTATTTTTTTGATACACCTCCTTACCCTGTAATTGCCAAATTAATTGTAAATTAATGAATTAATAAATTTATTTGTGAATAATTAATAAATTTATTTATTATTTAATTAGTTAATTTAATTTAATAATTAATTATTAAATCTTCAAACCAAAACAACTATGAATAAACAGTTTACCAAGTAAGCAACCAAGTAATGGGATAGAAGAACCCATGTAGATTTTATTTTTGTACAAAGCCTTCCACTAGTAATTTGATTTTTTATCAATGCTTTCCATTGCCGTAAAACTAGTTGGAAATTAAAATCGGGACATAAAATTTCTGATGCAGGCTAGGATTAAAGTGCCCACCATACATGAATCATAATAGAATTGGCTTTGTATAACCTGCCAAGTTTAATAGGTCTATTGCACTGAGAGTGTAATATTAACTGGTTAGTACATTAACATCGGTGGTTTACACCAAAGCTTATCCTATTATATTTCGAGTGAATATCTACCCACATGTCTAACTGTCTATAAAAATTAATTAGAAAACTAACGCGATCATTTAGATAAACTATTATATTTTTTAGATACCCTCAATGTAGAGAAACAATATGTACGATGTACGACAATGAATGGATAGAAGTAAATGTTTTTGCTTCATAAATGAAGGAATGACATCGCTACATCGGATTAATCGTGATGTAACTTGACCAAAACGACGAAGTAATTCAGATAAATTGTTATACTTGCCTGAATGTATACGTTAATTCCTGACTAAATGAATTATGCAACGTAAAATGTTAAAAATTAATAATGATTAATTAATTCACCTATATAGAGAAGCCTGCCGTGAAGCCTGGTCTGGGTTACGCTTGTCCCCACTCTTCGGTTGCATCTGCCCAAACACCCACATGAAGAAGCGCTGCGACCGCATCTTCGCCATCGTCAACCATAACCCGTGTGTTGGTGAGTACGCACCTTTATATAAGGCTGAACGCTCACTGTCTCTGTGGTTTCTGAGTGAGAAAATTATTATGTATCATGGAAAATATATTCTAATATTTTTAGCTCAATATGTTGAAATTGGAAATATTATAAGATAGAATTCATTTATATAAACATTTTGAGATATTATTGTTTTAAACGTAATTTAATATAAAGTTGTGATTTAATTTAAGCATATTTTAACTACATTTACAAATTGACTTACTAGTAAATCTTCTAAAATTGTAAATTACTCTGTCAAGAAAGTTTAAACTAATTATTAAGCCATTCAACAAACTAAAACTTTTATTCGATATAAAAGGTTGTTAAATAAATAAATAGAAATATATTAATAAATAGCTACGTCGGACAAACTCCAAAACTTAATAGCCTACCGACAATACTCTTTCAAAACTAATTTCATAAGAAATAGAGGCATCCTATCGATCACTATTCTATGCGCACTCCAATAATAACGGACTCGTATAATACAATATTCTGTTATCTGTGTGTAACAGGGCTGCCAATAGATTTTGTTCAATTATTATATACAATACATTGTCCTATTTTTTTTTGGTGGATGAAAATGGAATGATAACCCCGCCTGCGCTAACGGGATACGCTGGCGGAGCACCAGTGCAAGTTGATAGATGAGAATGAAAACAGGTCAGTTAGCCCATCATGATGAATTCATCAGGAATTAACCATGATAGTTTCCAGGGGGAACCACGAAGAGGTCGACCCGGTTGAGTATATTGCTAGCAATGGGATTTTTAGTCTCCATTACTAACAATCCCTTTCCCCCCTACACTGTCCTATTACGTTTATAATTTATATGTAAATTAGATATTAAAGTATAAAACAGGAATGCTAAGTGACTGACTGACCCATATACCTATCAACGCACACACACATACATATTTCGTAGCCGAAGCCACTTAATTTAGAATCTTGAAATTTTGCAGGTAGGTTCTATATATATCATAGATGAAGTATAAGAGAGGAGTTTTGAAATTTCAATACCCAAGGGGGTAAAACGGCGGTTGGAAGTTTGTATGGAAGTTCTGTTATATAATAGTTGTAGCCAAAAATACAAAACTTTAGTTTTAGATTTCTAATTAGAAATAAATACTTTTCAACATTTTTGGATATTTTGCCCCTAAAAAGGTGAAATGGGGGTTAAATAGAAATTCTGTCATTTTTGTAATAAGAAGTATGAAAGTTGGTTTTTACGTAAATCTCTTTCCAGCAATTATTATTAACCTACGAGTACTTGACAAAGATTATTTAAAAAAAAAAATAAACAGATATTAAAAAATAATACAGTGTATATATATATATATATATATATATATATATACTGTATGACTTTAATTCCTTACTAAAGATTGCCAAATTACTTAAATGTGGGCCTGTTAAGTATGGAAACACCACAATGGAAACATGTGACAAATACTTTTGACTAACCCATTTTGAATTACCGTTGTAAGCATATTAATACTTATATATAGTATAAGATAACATGGCACGCCTCTCCAAAATCCAAAGAATTTAAAATGTGTGAACAAAAATTTAGGTTACACGTCGCAATTTACCACTTATATCGTTAGTCGGTTAAAAATCGATGAATTAATGTCCTTGACCTTTCATTTGTTGACATGACAAATAATGACTCGAAAGTAGTTCTAAATCAAACCAATGATTACTAAACCATTTGTTTGTAATGGAACAAATTTATTGACAATAACAAACCACTTTACTTTTACCTGTATAATGGAGATATGAAAGGTAAAGTCTCGTTTTCAATAACAGTAATTATTTATTGTAGTTTCAATTACTTGGCAACTGTTCTATTCTTATTATTATAGAACTCTTATCTGTTGTCGGTTTTTCGAGCAATGTGACCAGCCGTTGCCACTTCAGCTAGCTTATCCTTTGAGCTAAGTTGGTTACCTTGCGGATGCGATGGTGTATCATTTTATATATATATATATATATATATATACAACTTAGAATAGCAAACAAGCTGACGGTCCACCTGATGAAAAGTGATAACCGTCGCCTATAGACATGAGCAGTACCATGGACATAACAGAGTATACTGTTTTGCCCATGTTATCCCTCATGCGTTGCCATTCCTGAGGATATATTATATATATATATATATATATATATATATTCTTTATTGCACTAGAACGAAAGATACAGTGATTAATTTAACAACTTGTTAGCAAGCGGGAGCTTATCTCTGAAAGAGATCTCTTCCAGACAACGCAGTGCAGCTAAAAAGAAGACAATTAATTAACGAGTAATCTAGTGCAGGAAAGGTATAGGAAAAAATATTTTTTTTTATCATTTCCCATCAGGTGGACCGTCAGCTTGTTTACCATTCTAAGTAGATATCATAAAAAAATGCACCAATAAACGACGAAATATTTCATAGACATATTTGATATATTTGAATTTAGAACGCAAAACCGTATCTACATATAAATTTCACATAGCCATGAACAAGTGTTTTGCTCCAAAATGTGTAATAATAATAGTAACTTCAACCGTCATAAAATAATATGAAAGTTGACTCTATCGATTGTAAAAATCGATTCAGAATTAACGACGTAATCGTGTAATAAAAATACACACGAATTTTATTTATTTTACGAATTTTATCAAAATCGGCTCAGTAGTTTTATTTTAGACCAACATAACTAATTTTGCCACAATTGATGTCGGTTTTTTTAAGACACAATCTTTAATTATTTCTTATCAAACTAAAAATTATCCTATCCCTTAAATTGGCTCAAACAATGCACATTAAAAAAGAATCATAAAATCGGTTAAGAGGTTTCGGAGATTAGCATGAACGAACATTATGACACGGGATTTTTATATACTAAATATAAGTAAGCTACTAACACCCACCTGCGACACATGTTGCACGTCAAAACTAGGTCAAAACTCGAGTTTGCTTCGCCGTTCAAATATATAGACATACATATAATGGGGGTTATCTTGGTAGCCTCTAGTACTCAGAAGTTTCGCCTATAAACTCACAACTTCCTAGTCATACCTATACATAAGTATTAATATATGTTCATTAAAGCAGTTGAAATATATTCAATTCTACTCTACAGTTTAAATGTTTTGGACAATTAGGCATTATCATAATTTCAGCCATTATCCGTCCACTGCTGGACATAAGCCTCCCCCATAGACTGCCATAAAGAACGGTTCTGAGCCACCTGCATTCATTGACTGCAGGGCAACGCATTTCAGGTCGTCACTCTCAACAATTAGTAATCGAATTAAATCAAATAATTTATTTGCAGTATACAACATTACTAAAGGGAGGAGGGGGGCAAAGGGATTGTTAGTAATGGAGACTAAGAATCCCATTGCTAGCAATATACCCAACCAGGCTGACCTCCTCGCGGTTCTCCCTGGAAACTATCATGGTTAATTCCTGATGAATTCATCATGATGGGCTAACTGGCCTGTTTTCATTCTCATCAATAACCCTTCACTGGTGCTCCGCCAGCGTATCCCGTTAGCGCAGGCGAGGTTAGCATACCATTTTCACCAATCAAAAAAAAAAACATTAATGGTCTTAATACTATTCGTATATATAGCATTTGTCCAATGTATTCAGCCCGTAAACACGTATGCAATGTTTACATATTTCAACTGTCAAATTTAGTCAAATTAAACAATAATAATAATAATAAATAACCAGTCTGGAACAACATCTCAGACGGTTGGGATTCCGAGGCGGCTCTCTCCCGGGAAAGATGCAGAAAGCGGTGCTCTTAGATTCTGCCCGCATTGTACGTCGGTTTCTCTCCCTGGGACCCTGAACCCCGGCCGACTGTGCTTCTGCCGGGGGTTAGTTGCCATCTCCTCTCCTTAAGAGGGGAGATGAGAATTTTGGTAAAATAATAAATAAATATACTTACTTTTTACGCTATACATCATTTCAGCCATTATCCATTAACGTTGTTATTACCTATTTTTTATGCAATTTTAAACTGTAAATTAGCTGACGATTTATTTAATGCAAAAATTATACATAGAAAACACCCAGATTAATACAAACAGATATACAATAGTCATTAATACAAATGTACGTATTGTACGGGAATCGAACCTGCGATTATCGGGACGTAAAGCGTTGTGTCAAACCGCTTGATGTTTTCAAAGTGCTTAAACTTGTTGTTTTTTATTATTTCATCGGGATTTTTTATTATTCTAAATAAAATAATAACGTTACAATATAATCACATTCCTAGAACCAATTTAAATGAGTTTTCAATTCTATCTTAATTTAATTAAATTAAACATTTCCTGGATATAACGGACCTCGTAATAAATTAATAACAATTGAGAAACACCATTGTTATGTTTCCCTTCAGCTCGAACTCATCAAATCAAAATTTTACTATAATAATAATATTTTCGTAATGGGCTCATTAAGATCAAAATTATTCTTAGAATATTAGACGGAAATTTAAGCATTCTTATTCTGTTTTCTTGCTTATTATCAATACTCAATCTAAACTTAAAAGATCTCGAATAAGACAACTAAATCAATAGGAAACATTACTACATAAAATGTAAATTAAAACACAGAAAAACCATTAGACATGCAAAGACAAAAATGACTTATGGGAACTCCCTAATTTATTCTATTAACAACAAAAAAATCCCCAATAAACGTACGTAATTTGATTATTGTTGTAACAGTGGCAACCCTGAGCATAACTCACTCAGATTCAATATACGTGAACGTTTGATTCATTTCTTATAATCTCTGTGGAGTTCTTACTGCGAGGGCCCAGGATCCCCGGGGGCAGGAATCCTAATCCCGCGGTAATCCCGGGATGATCCGGCGCGGGGCGCGTCATCTTTCAATCTTCCGTAAGCCCTTTTAATTCTATAAATTGATCGCGACTTTTTGCTTTATGTTAGTTTTCCGTTTTACTTTC